AAATACAGAATTTAGTCACATCCTTTGTTCAGAGGAGAGCCAGAAGGTCATGAAGTTAACTTCTAACAGAATGTTCCCCTACAAGGTGCAGCTAGGTGGCAGGTATAATCCCATGCTTAATTAAACCCTGGTTTCTCTGCTGAAGTTTCTTTCTGTAGAAATTATTTTACCATTTATGAAATTAAATGAATTATTCTAAAGCAAAGAATTATTTGCTTGTGTAAGAGAAATACTTTTCCCTTTCCCCAACATTTAAAAAATGTTCAAGAAATATTTTTTTTTCAGATCCAGACACAGTTAAGCCAGACTAAAAATCAGCAGCTACATATGACAACTTATTAACTAATCTGACTGCTGATATTAAGGGAAGCCCTGGACCTCAGTTTCTGGCAACTTCCCTGATTGAAAGAACACCGCAGAAGTTTTATTTCATCAGCTATGTTAGTTACGTTTCCTGTCCTGATAAACACATACTACAAAGTCCAAAACCACTTCAAGTTATCAATTTGCCTTTGATTACTTAAGTCTAAATAATAAATCAGCCTTTCATCACCCTAAGGTATTCCACTGCTGATATTTTTTCTCCAAAAACCACCCAACTTTTTCCCCTGTTCCATGTTAATTTGGTTGAATCATTGTATTTCTGTACTGTAATTCCTTATTTTCTATGCATTTCTTTATACTTAATTACATATAGAACGAAATTTGAAATTAAAGCTGATGTATTGAGTATTATTTTACTATAGCTATCTAAATACATTTTTACAGAAAAAATTAAGAGACTCGGAGTTCTGTTAATACTATTCACAGCAAGTTTGCATTGCTTTAAAAAATAATTTGAAACTCTGATAATATAGTTGTGCTTATGGGGAATATGTAATACAAAACTAAGCCTTTGTTAGCTTATTAGCTGCCAAAACCCATCTTTGTTACTGTGTACAGTACAAGTTCTACAGATAGGGTCCTTTCGAGATACGTACTTAAAGCATTGTTTCTTTGAAGGCCACACTTGCAGCTAGTGTAAGCATGGACAAATTTATACTTGGAGCAAGAAATCTGTCCCAGAACTGATACAGTCTGACATCAGTGAATGGCCAAAATTTGCAAACTTAGTGAATAGTTCTAGGATGAGCTTCTTTAACATGAAGTACACCAGCTCTTCCTGCAATCATTCACTAAATGGGTTTCTGCTCACATAGTACTTTGACCTATGACATCCTCACTAAAATAGCCAAATAAGTCAAGGTAATATTTTCCGTGAGTCACAAGTCCTTTAGTGCCTTTTTTGTAACTATCAACATTTAGTTAATTTTCTGATCCTCAGCCAGGAGAAAGTATCCTGAGGACTAGTCTACAGCTCAGGTCCTGTTTTCTTCCTGCCCCAAGCAGACACTGCTTTCTTTTATGGGTTCATGAGTACTTAGCTTTGGAAGTAGTTGTTGAATTTTCCCTGACGCAGGGTGATGAGGAAAGACCAGTCCAGTGGAACTGTCTGCATCCTTTCTTGGGGCAAGGTAACCTTTGGACCCTAGAAACTCTTGCAATATTTTCTCTTTAGCTTTGTACAAAGACCTTTCACCTGACTAGGACAGCTGGCTACAAATCTAGCATCCCCAGGGC